ATTTCTGATTGGCTGGGCGAATTGCAAACCACGCCTCGTAAAACTCTGAAAAGTTTTGTGAAGCCGCCATTGTATTTGCTGGCATTAGCATTATTAGCATTAGCATTAGCCCCGCGCACCAACGGAGAGAGAATAACTTATGGCAAGACAAAAAAAAAAATGGGAGCGGTGGAGAGATGAGGAGGGTGTCGGCGTAGAAGCTGCTGGGAGTCCCAGCAGCTTCTACTGAAGCCAGTCCCCAACTCCGGGGACTTCCGGCCGGGGACTTTGGGAGGCAGTATACGCCGTGAAGTGGTTTGCGGCCTGCCAGTAAACCCAAAGCAGAAGAAGAAGAAGAAGTGACGTCAGCGGCTTCATTTGCCTAATCCTCCCTCAGGGAACTTATTCCGGTGTGAACGTGATCTACTCCTAGTTCCATGGGGGTACTAAGGCTGGGAACTAAGTACTGGGAACTAAGTACGGCAAAGTACTTGGTGTGAAAGCGGCTTATGATGATTTTAATTAAATCGCGTCCATTCCCTTCTCTAGCTTTTTAACTTTAACTCAGAACGGGTACATCTTTACATCTTGTCCATAGGCTAAAACTGAGGCTAATTTTCACCTTGGCAACATTATAGTGAGAAGACATTTTCTGATTAAGCTTGTGTGATTGATTGATTGATTGATTGATTGATTGATTGATTGATTGATTGATTGATTGATTGATTGATTGATTGATTGAGCTCTATTGTAGAATATTAATGGCCCCTGTGTAGATTTCAGCTGCTGTTTCCAAGGTCCAGAATAAACTGTCAACCTCATAATGTGACGACTTAAATGGGAGCATCTAGCCCAAAACGAGCAAAAAAGGAATGACCACACATGAAAAACAGATTGCTGTAGGTATTGGATTTTGACACTTTCACATAAAAGTCATGCATTTTCACTCTTTTGTACAAAAAGTCCCCCAGTAAATGTGTTTTTAACTCATTTGGTGGCACAGAAAAGTCCAAGGTGGATGTTTTTATTGCCCACTGTATGGCACAGGCAGTCCCTTTGCATTTCGGGCACACCAATAAACATCACCATGGTGAAGCCGCTCTGAATATCCTCAGATCCTACAAATAGAAACACTGAGTTCCTGGGAATCGCTTGCTAACGACATGATGATGGATGGAGAAATGCCACCCAGTCCAGTAAAACAGCTTTATGAGAAAACTTTAGCAACACTTCCTTCATTCTTCAGCCACGAGGACTGAAATAAGTATCAACTATATTCAATCGGCGTCGAATGAAATCATTTCATTTGTTTTTATTATTTCTCAATCGCGGATTTTTGTACATGTGGTACTTTTTATGGCACTTAATTTGAATGGTTGCAGCTGTAAATGGGAACACATAGTTCTCGCCACTTTCTTTGATTCAATATGTCTTTTAATTGGTTCAATTCCCCTCTAATCTCCCCAAGACTCCAACTCCAATGTTAAATATTTCTCTTTAACTTCCTTATTTAAGGATGCACATTAAGGCCACATATTATACAAAATCCACTTTTTCATGCCTTTCATACATCACCATGTGTCCCCTCTTCTTCATGTCTCTTCTGCATCAACATGTGTCCCCTCTTCTTCATGTCTCTTCTGCATCAACATGTGTCCCCTCTTCTTCATGTCTCTTCTGCATCAACATGTGTCCCCTCTTCTTCAAGTCTCTTCTCCATCAACATGTATCCCCTCTTCTTCATGTCTCTTCTACATCAACATGTGTCCCCTCTTCTTCATGTCTCTTCTACATCAACATGTGTCCCCTCTTCTTCATGTCTCTTCTCCATCAACATGTATCCCCTCTTCTTCATGTCTCTTCTCCATCAACATGTGTCCCCTCTTCTTCATGTCTCTTCTACATCAACATGTGTCCCCTCTTCTTCATGTCTCTTCTTCATCAACATGTGTCCCCTCTTCTTCATGTCTCTTCTACATCAACATGTGTCCCCTCTTCTTCATGTCTCTTCTACATCAACATGTGTCCCCTCTTCTTCAAGTCTCTTCTCCATCAACATGTGTCCCCTCTTCTTCATGTCTCTTCTGCATCAACATGTGTCCCCTCTTCTTCAAGTCTCTTCTCCATCAACATGTGTCCCCTCTTCTTCATGTCTCTTCTACATCAACATGTGTCCCCTCTTCTTCATGTCTCTTCTGCATCAACATGTGTCCCCTCTTCTTCATGTCTCTTCTACATCAACATGTGTCCCCTCTTCTTCATGTCTCTTCTACATCACCATGTGTCCCCTCTTCTTCATGTCTCTTCTGCATCAACATGTGTCCCCTCTTCTTCATGTCTCTTCTGCATCAACATGTGTCCCCTCTTCTTCGTGTCTCTTCTACATCAACATGTGTCCCCTCTTCTTCATGTCTCTTCTACATCAACATGTGTCCCCTCTTCTCCATGTCTCTTCTACATCAACATGTGTCCCCTCTTCTTCATGTCTCTTCTACATCAACATGTGTCCCCTCTGTGTAAAGACATTCTGAACATTTCAGGAACAAAGATTATCTCTCTTTTTGTCCTGATCCATTTCTATAAAAACCTGTCTGAAAATGAGCTCATCAGATTTTGGCCACTTTATGATGTCATAACGATTTTTTGGCTTGTGTAACCATTAGCCAATCACCACCCAAGTTAACCCCCCCCCACCTTATCACCTGAATCTCCTCCTAGAGCACCATTGAGTTATTTTTAACCAAATCTCTCTCAGAGGGGCGTGGGGAGGGGCTCCTTATTTTCATCTAAAGTAACAGACAGAGAATCAGCACTTTGGAAACAGGGCTGAAACAGAGGGGATTATGGGTAATGCTGCAATGATCTGTTTGGTGTTTGGAGCCAAACACTTCAGAGACACGTTTTGTATATATCTGAGACCTATAATATATTAATGAAAAATAGTATAATAGGGGACCTTTAAAGCCGACTGCGTACATTTTAGTTTGAGAGGACTCAGCTGCCCATAGCATCACATCTGAGGGGGTTTTCTATAACAATCTCCCAAGGCAGCCAATATACCCAGATAGTGAGCTGAGAGCTGACAGAAATTAAACGCTTGTTACACTGGAGACCGCTTTTGGCTCTAAGGTCATCCTGACCCTTCCCTTTATCCCCCAGGTGGGATCTGTCACAACTAAAGAAGACATTCCTATAATCTAATCATCCGGCGTGCAAAGCTAACATATCCCAAAACAACATTCACACTGCGATCGCCAGACAGAGATTACTTGAAGGGAAAAAGTGATACCGGGGACCTTTTGAGCTCTAAAGCGTCTGTGATGGATGTTGAACCTCAGCGTGGCCCACCCACACAGGAGGGGGTGAGGAGCTCAAGCTGCTGAGAGCCGGTGCACACGGTGGAACAGTTTGAACCACAGAGGCAGATTTATCTGTGGTATTTGTCCAGGAAAAACCCTGCAACTTAAATCTAAGTTGCATGATTTAGAAAACACCTCTTGAAGGAACTGTCTTGGTGTAAAAACAAATTAACCTTTGTGTCGTGAAGCCTCCATCAAGGTAATTTGCTTTACAACCCTAAACAGCTGAATGCTAATGTAAGCTTGCTAGCATGCTCCCAACCTCAATTGCTTAATATTTAATGGTCTTAGTTTGCAATGCTACCCTGCTAACACAAAGTGCAGGTTTATGGTCCTTGACCACCCTTTTGACACCATAATGGCGCTCATTTGATTTTTATAAATGTGTTCCTGTGGGGCATTAATATCTGTGCCAAATGTAATGCCAAGCAGTCGAATAGTTATTGAGAAATGTCACTCAGAATTACAAATATCAACCTCATGGTGGGGGGATCACCACATTCATTATGATTATTTAGGATTTATTATGAATATTCGTACCAGATTGTGAGCACATACATCATGGAGAAGATGTATAATAATATGTAACATATTTAAACGGATAAGTAACTATTCAGGTTCATCTTATGGGGACCATGAATGTCCGTACAAAAGTCCTTCCTTTAATCCTAGAACTAGAATAAAGAACGCTAGCATGGCTAAAGACTTTAAGAAAAGTTTCATGGAGATAATCTTCTAACCTTCAAAACATTACCAACTTCCTGTATAATTGATATCATAGCTCTCTGGTTGATTCTTGAGGTCTGGCCACCAGGCGCAGAAATCACTGAGTTGTTAAAGACAAGTTCTGTCTCAGTCGTGACTTTAATTTGTGTTTCCGCCCCGGGCCGTCCTATTTATCCCTCAGTGTTTCTGTAGCAGCCTGGAGAAAAGTCTGACAGCTAATCCAGGGAGGAACATTTCCCCAGTTATTTCTCGCCTTTAATTACTTTGACGGATGCTTTCCTTCCAAATGAACTTTTATAAAGAAATCAGCGAGAGCTTAGCTAATGTGTTCCAGCGTTGGGAATACTCCACTGAAAGCTAAAGTGAGCAGGTGTGCCATTTCATGCTCTACTACATTTCAAGAAGTAGTCCCTCATGCAAAAGTAATTAAGACAAAATGTCTTAACGTGAGGATGAAATACTAAGCTTTAGTCATCCAGGAAATGAAGTGCTGGAATGCACCATTGCATTTGCTCAGCTGCCCCCCTGAGCTCAACTCATCCAAGACAAGCAACAGCGAGCTCCCCTTTCTCGAAGCCAAGGAAACCCCTTGTCGGATGCACAAGTGGAAGGAAATGGCTAATGTATAGGCTGGGGGCTCAAGGGATTCCATTTCTGGGAAAAGGGGGGGCGATACAGAGCTTGAACAAGTGAGTGTTTGTGTCAAGGCCGTGAGCGTCTGGCTGATAGAGAACAGACAACACACTGAGGAGTTGTGTGCGATCAAGACAGATAGTGAAAGATAGACGAAGGGAGATCTTTAGAAACAGAAACCGAGATGCCGAGAATAGAGGCACATCTAGTTTGAGTCAACTGGTGCATAGTTAGACAGTTTGTCCTTATCTTCCCTCTGTGAAGTTCTTAGAAAGGCTCAAAGAAAGACAAATGAACCACATCTTTCCATTTTAGATTTTTTTTAATGATTTAAAAACAAATACCCTGACCTTGGATATAGAAATGTAAAATATCCTGCATGAAAAAAGTTTCAAAAACAGTTCTTACAGAGCAAATACAATAAAGACAGTTGGTCAGTTTCAGGCACTTGGATCCATGTTTGTCATGCTACACAAGAAAAGTATTTCTTTGGTCCTTTCCCTTTCAATCAGGTCAGCTGAAACCACAGACAGAACAAAAAGCTTTCTGGTTTCGTACAAATTATATACATTTCATTAAAAGACCCAATGCAAGTCTCTATCAGACAACAATCAGAACTGGCAAAGTTCCTCCGTCACAGAACAGCCCTTTTTTTCCACCTTGGTTATAAAAAGATAACAGAATAAAAATGGTAATGGCTCGAATTGGATTCCAAATGTTTAACAGCATTGTGAATCAACATAACTTAGTGGAATGATTTTGATATAATATTTGGCAAACAAAAAGTAAATGAATTCCTTTTTGTCCATGATGGGCCCGCAACCAAAAATAGCCACATTGCTAATGAGCCACAGAGCTCTCGTGTGAATGCTCAGCGTACATCAACGTAAAGTTAAAATGGGAAGCTTGCTTAAATCACACCCTAAAAGTCATTGCTCAACTGCAAGGAAGCCATGTTCGATAAGAGTTGCACGTAAGCATGGGTGACTGGACCTGTGCCACGTAATAATTGCTGAAGTTGACGTCTCTGACATAGGGGGCAGGCTGGTAGTAGCAGGTGATGTTGGACAGAGCGGGGATTGCTATCTGTTCGGCCATTACACGCAAAGCCAGCGCGGAAATGAGTGCCAGCGTCTGTCGGCGCTCGTGGCCCATCAGACACACGGTGCTCTCGTCCACCACGCGCCGCAGCGTCACCAGGCACTCGTAGCGCTTGTGCTCCATGCCAACGAAGTGGTTCTGCAGATAGCCCTCCAGTTTGCGCTGCTGCACGCATATGTCTGGGAAGTCGATGAAGAAGCGTGAGCACATGTAGCGCTGCATCTGTTTCATCTGAGTCTCGGAGTCCGGTCTGAAGCCACGCGTCAGCAGGTGGCAGTACTTCAGCAGCCCGCCGCCTCGGATCTCTTCTGGGCTGCGGGTGGCAATAGTCCTGGAGTAAAGGTGACCCAGAGCCTCATCAAAGTCTCCGTACATGCTCTCGCCCTGCACCGTCGGGTGGAAGGTCTCGGACATGGCCGTCTCCGAGCAGCGGTCAAAGAGCAGCAGCGAGTCCAACGTGATCTGGAAGGAGTCGACGCTGAATTCAAACTGCCTTCTCAGGGAGTCCACGAACTTCAGCTCCACGTTCTTGCCGGAGTTGTTGGACAGCGAGATGAGGCTCCAGCGGTCCGTGTCGTTGCAAACTTTCACCAGTTTCTGCACGTAAGCTTCCTTCAGGGCGAGGGCTGTGATTCGCTCCCTGCACACGCCTTCTGGCAAGAAATCCACCAGGCAGTCAAGCACCACGTCCTTCACCACCCGGAAGGTTTTGTCATCAGTCAGCTTCAGGCCAAAGATCAGGTCCAGGTCTTTGTAGCCGAGGCCGTTGTCCTCGTGCAGCACGTGGCTGGCTGCTGAGCCGTTCAGCTTAACGTCACGAACCCCAACGCCTCGCTCCTCCAATCGAGCCCTGACCACCTGAAACACAGACAGAGAGGGAAAACTCAGCGATGGATATCCATAAAAAGACAAGAATCACAAGTAGCTGAAAGCAGAATGATTACATTACATGTTACTTGTTAGACGCTTGTATCCAAAGCGACATACTCAATACTGTGGACAATCCCCACAGGGACACAACGACATGCTGACTGCAGTGGGGTTTGACCCTGTGACCCCCTGATCCCAACACCAACGCACTAACCCACTGCGCCACACGCCTCCCCCTTATGAGTCATGAACACACTGCTAACTTTATTGCGAAAGTTCAAGTCAATGCACTTTCGTGGAAATGTAATTCCTGAAATTTGCTGGTAGAACAAACGATAGAGAACATTAAAGATCTAAAAAACGAAATGAAGTTACAACTTCAAAAGTGTGTTATCAATAAATATGTATAAGGAAGTATTTACACTCGTCTTTAGGAAAGATAAACCATTTATCTGTCAGGAGGAGCGAGTGAATGATTCCCGGCAGGCTTTCAGTATCTTGCTTTCAGACAGTTTGATAACAAAGCATCTAACTTAGCTAATCCTTGAGTGACAATTCCCTACACTGCTCAGTACACCACAAAAGAGCTGCATATCTGATTTAGCGCACTTATCTCTGCATATGAGGTAAAAGCAACATCAGCACGACAGAGATAAGCTGTGGAAAATTGCAAGTCATTGCTTGTCTGCTGCAGGAGACTTTAAACATAAAGAAATACAATTTCAGCTGTGAGCTTTTAAACGTGTGCCCTATGACAAAATTGAGACAAGGTGATGCATTTGTAACATAAACACTCTTTGGCAAAGGTTTAACACGTTATTGGAACACACTCTACGATGCACTGATGCAATGCTTGGGAAAACGTTTGAGCTACAGACAGCTGAAATGTTTATGCTTCCTGTCTGTCGCATCATTCATAAGACACTAAGAAGAGAAAAACATCGTAAGGCCAAATCTGAAGAAATCCAAAGCACAGCTGTGGGTTATGAAACTCTTACTTAGCCATAGGGATATGTTATTGTGCTACCAGCTATCAATGTACTCAGCAGGGTAATCCTATTAGAATGTATTTTAGACCCTAAGATTTGAAAATGCAAGGTGTAAACTTAATCCGACAAATCCCTTTTTAATAACGCTTCAACACTTGGCTGCTACAAAGGGAAAGCCTTGTGCCAATTGTAATGCAACACTAAAATGTCTTCATAAAACACTCACACACGAAATGTCCCTTATAGGCCTACGTCTGTTTCCGGTTATTTTTATTTTGAAATTCAGTCCCTGACAGACGCCAAAAAAGCCAGAGATTATGGAATTAAACAAATAAATAAAAACAAGGATAATTGTGTGTTATTGGTGAGTAAATAACAGTGTGTTATTTTGAAAAGAATAACAAATTAGAAGGAAAAAAAGATTTTAAAAAATACAGATTTCAGTATTCTGAGGCTCTGAGCCCCATTTATTTTCCTCACAGACGACAAAAAAAGTCCGAAATTATACGATTTAAAATAAAAACAATAATCGTGGCTTGATATTGAGTAAGAACATGTTTTTATGAACCTCACAGCTTCTGGTCTTCCAAGACCCGTCCGGACAAAAAGACGTGCTGCAGGCACGAAATATACTACTACTAGAAATACATTGCTTTTAAAATCGTTCTGTGACACGAAAAAAAGGGGGAAATCGTGTTGGTGAACACGAATCAATAGATTAAATGTCGTGACTATAACACGAAATGCCGTGAGACTGGGTTGAAATATTTTCCGCCTCACCTAAACTTTAGTAATCTCTTACATTTCCTCATTTTTTCACAAACATTGGTGGGTAGAAGCCAAGTGTCTCCAAGGTGAGGTTACACTGTTAGAGGAAGTTCAACTGTGCACTTGTTGCACTTACTGCAAAGCTCACATCAACACCATCTCATGTAATCCAAACACAAGCATAAATGTGGATTTAGAATAATGTGCTAAAACGAGTGCCTGCAGAGAAACTGTGCTAACTGAACGCTAGCTCACATTAGCTGGAAATGCTGCAAAAATACAAACATTCACACAACTCTCTTCCAAAGACAACTTAACAGGTGTTGGAAGGCATATGTTCTCATTTAAACTAAGCCATGCTAGCTGCTTACCCTACAATTGTATGCTAACACAGGCTAGGCCAAAACACCCTATTCCTGTCCTGTACTTAACACAAAAACATTAACTGAGTTTCAATCTTCTCATCTCACAAGCAAATTTGTGTATTTACCAAAATATACAAATAACATTCTACAGTTGTGTTAGAAAAGAAAAGGACTTAAGTGCAAATGAACTCCAAATCCAATGAAAACATTTGAGTTTAGCTGGACAAAAGTGCAGAAAGGTGGATTGTTTTCGCCTATGCAGCAAGGGATATACTCAAAGCAGTATTTGGTCTGACCTCACACTTAAAACAGTTGGTCTGAGTTAACAGCACGCCATAATCTGGCCATCTGGGGGTCTCTTAAAGGGGAGTATGAGGAAACCCAGCTCACATCCCCCATCCTTCAGCACTCATTAAACAGGCCGGTTCATTTCCCACATCATGCAGCAGCACCTGGCGAGCCGGGCTGAAGGGGGAGACACTTCCGCTGACGTTTTAGTCAAATAAATCTTGTAAAATGAGCCGCAAACACACCAGACTGTCTGGTGTTGACAACGCCTTGGCGACACATAGCAGTCTGTCCACTTTCCTTCTCCATTCTCAATAGTTTCCTTGAGTAGTTCATTTAAGCTGCGGCCTGGATGTGTTTTTATTATGGCAGTTTGAAATGACCCAGCCATTTACCAGCCCAAAGACTCATAGGACGCCAATAAGAGCTCTCAGTGAGTCAGAAGATCCCTCCGCCAAGGACACAGAGACGGAGAATAAGGAATTATGAGTCCCTGACCTTTCTTTTTATAACTAAACTAACCAGAGCCAGCCAGTCATACAGGAGCTCTACAGGCAGACAGTGGGTTTTTCTGAGATTTAAAAAGCCTCCTTAAATTCCAATGGGTTATATGGGAAGTTCTAGTCATTTAATTGCTAGCGGTAATAGCAATTGTAGATATCAAGGGCTTTTTGAGTAGTTATAAGTCCAAACCAACATAATCACATTTTAATTTTGACTTATCACAGTCATAATTAAAGAAGTCGACAATCCATTCCTAGAGGTGGAAATATTCATCATTGTGGATCAATGTAGCTTGAATTTCTCAACTGTTACCGTTGACTTCTATTCAAACTGAATTACAGATAACTATACTATATATATGAACCAATGTTGATGTGTTATGACTCAAAGTCCGCATATGCATTATTTATCATCACACTTCTTGTAAAAGATATCTAAAATTCATCTCTCATTAGTCAAGATGTTAAATATTTATATCAACAATTGATTATTTTAGAGTTTTAATCTTCATAGTGGATTTTGGGAACAACATTTTCTCTAAATAATAAAATTATGGGTTTCATTATTCCAAGTCCACACATCCATAAGGTCATGTGGACTATTTATTTCTCAAGAGTGTAAATGTCCATCGTAGATATCTGTAAATAAATGACTTCCCAACTTTGACCATTGACTTGATCAAAAAATCTATAGTTCAGCTTTGACTGGTTATAATTCAAAGCTGACACATCAATATTGTAAGTTTGACTAGTTGCAGTTCCAATGGTAATATGATACGTCAAAATAGTTTTTACAGATATCTTAAAATATCATTAAAATGTGTCAATCACTACTATTCAGCCATACTGATTGAATGTCAAAAGGTCTCACAATTTGGAGGTAACTTCCCCTTTTTTCTCAGACCAGAGTGAGGCTGAAACGTGATGCTGTTACTCCTCCATGTGATGTTTTCAGCGAAGGATCTGCTTCAAGGGTTCACAGATATTTGAATGTCTTTAAATTAGTTGTATTAGATCCTGGAGCCAGCCGTGTAAGATAAAAACCTGTGGCAGTGAAAGCTATGGTATGAAAAGTCATCCTTATTTCCTGTAACTGTGATAGCCTTGTGATTAAATAGTAAAAACAAGCTATTCACTATCTTGCTTTACGCCCATGCAGCCAAAATGAAAATAACTTTAACTATATCACACATTGGAAAGTACAGTGTAGTAAAATCTGTGTCTGTAACAGTAGATTTTATCCTACAAAATTCAACTTGCACACAACCAAAATGTTTAAAGGTCAACTCCCTCTAATTTACTTACTGACGTCTAATTACCTCCTCCACGGAAATGATGTCTATTTTATGCTTGGATGGTTGGTTGGTTTGTTTGTTTGTCAGCAGGAAAAAACTACTGGCCTAATTTTAATTAAACTTGGTGTAAGGGTGTAGCTTTTGCTCTCCAAGTGGCCATACTGAACCATTTAAATGTAATGTTGTATTGGTCTTATACATTTCATATATTAACCATATAGATAGATCATAAATACCCATTGTTTTAAGGTTTCATAACTAAACTCACTAGGATTTGGCGATGTACAGTATATACACCCAAAATCACCCAAAAAACCGGATGTACACAACAATTGGCCTATCGAAGTTCTATCGGTTCAATGATCCAGCCTTAAACTAAACCACTAGTGCTGATCCACAAAAATCTCAGAGAAAAATTGACTTGGTTTCCTGAATTGTTACTATTTTGAAAATGTGCTAAAGTATGAGCGGCGATAAGCCATTTTGCCAAAATGATCCAACTTCATCAATGGTCCAACCAGTCAAAGAGATTCCATTAGTTCCACCGACACTGTTTAATTTATGAGAAGCATTCAAATGTACAAAAATGATAACTTGCGATCAAACTGCCAACTATTTTGTTTTACTACCCAGCAGTCTAAACTGAGCATTGGCTCCTCGGGGGAGCTTTGGGAGCATGTGGTGTCTTCATGTTCAGTCTCAACAATAGCGCAGTGAGGAGTTGGTTTACAGTCTCCTCACTTTCCACAGTGATAGGCCGTCAACCTGACCCTCCGTGTTATTACAGGCACTAATCCACCATTCTGACTCAAATCTCCGCTGTCCACCGGGAAAGTGGAGAACTTTCTTCCAGTAGCTAAAACAATTTAGTTTGAATATGATAGCCTGCAGAGGAGGAATTAGAGACGACCCCTCCTGGTGGCCTCCATATCTCATCCCACACACACAAACCCACTGAACAGGTGACGTAACACACACACACACACCAGGTATCTGCGTTTGTCATCATGTGGTGGAAGAAGTACTATGAATATAAGCAATAATAATAATAATATATTTTATTTCTATAGCGCTTTTCTTGAACCCAAAGACGTTTTACATTTGGGAGGGAGGGTAGACAAACAAAACAAAGCCAAAAAGAAACAAAACAAAACAGAAAAGCAGTCAGGAGGAAGTTGATTGAGAGGGGGGGGGGGGGGCTTATGGATAAGTACTCAAGATCCATTTCAAAATGTTTTTCTACAATGTGGCTTTACGACTTTGAGTAAAGTAACTTGTTTGATGAGTATTTGAGTATTTCTACACTATGGTATTACTACTTGAGTAAATCTTAGTACTTCCTCCATCGCTGCTGTGACTTTTTGACATTAAATGGAGTACAGAGGTGTCAGTAACAGTACAATTCTCCTCCACAGCTCCCGTGCTTTATCTTTAGCATTATCCCGTGGCTCACTCACATGCAGACCACAAACAGATGTTATTTAAATGTGGCTCTCAGACAAACCTACTATTTAGTGTGTGTGTGTGTGTGTGTGTGTGTGTGTGTGTGTGTGTGTGTGTGTGTGTGTGTGTGTGTGTGTGTGTGTGCCCTCTGTCACCTTCCCCCCAGTTTGTGACAAAAGGAGCCCCTCAGGTACAGACAGCTCTGTCTGCTGCGTTGTCTGAAAATAAAAAGACATTATAAAAGCGCAGACTGGTGGTTTCGCATGTTTAAGCGTGAATCAAGAATGCCTCACATTACTGTCAACCATTTTCCAAAACATATCATAGTGGTTAGGATCAGTGAATGTGTTTTTCCTTCCTCACAGGCAGCCATCGGTTTCCCCTCATGGCCCATATGGTATGAAAATCAACGTGCAGAGGCTTGAAAGCAGCCTGACAAACTCCATGACAGATAACATGCCGTCTGCTTTTGTGTCTGTCAAAAAAAGAAATCTATGCATTGTGATGCACTGCAGACTTTTCAGATTACTTTATATTTACAGGTGCCTTGTGATTACGCATTTTGTTATGCTACAATTTTTCGTTTACCTACAGCCTTCTCTTATTAGCAAATGCACTATATTTTACTTTAACTTCTTATTGTTATATACATATTTGAATTACATTTGAGATTTGTATTGTGCATTCATAAGGATTGAATAATCTAAATCTAAAGTATTAAAGAGGCCCTATTCTGCTTTTTGGGATTTCCCTCTCTTGTAGTGTGTTATATAGGTTTGTGACATCACTACGTAACACTTGAGCTTCTATTGGCTAGGGCTCCAACATGTTGTACGTGATAGGCTAAGGGGCGGGACATCTCTAAGCGGTTGGCCAATCACAATAGAGAGGGCCAGCTAACCAATCAGAGCAGACTGGGCTCTGATTTCAGATGGAGGGTGAATCATAATGAAGGCAGCCATGCTGAAACTGACTAGGTTATTGTAGTTTGTTCAATTTAAATCAATATATCACACGTAATTATATCAACTTTCAAACAAGAAACATGTTTTCTTAAGTTTATAATCCCCAGGCTGTGCAGAAAACAAATGTTGGATTACCTTAATGTGTGTCTTTGGACTTAAATGAAAGCCTCATTCAACATGCTGCAATGTAAGCACTTAAACAGGACTGGAAACTGGTTTATGACAGGAAATGTAACAAATCTTTGGGGTCTTTTGGGCTTAAGGAAAGACATTAGCTTGATGATAGGGGGCCCCTTTAATTATAGACGTCCCTGAAATGTTTTGTGTGTGAGGGTCTGTCCTCCCCACAGAAAGTATGAATCATTGTGGTGAAAATGTGAACCTAGATTACAGGAAAATACATGTAAATGTCCAGTAAAAGCCAATATGTTCCTTAATGTTTCATACTGTCATTATCTCTCGCTCATTTTCACTCCAGCTGTGAATAGAAAAATGACTTCAGGAGCATTAGTTAGTGAGCTAGTGGAAAAGAGCAGTCATGGCGTTAGATCATCCCCACTGTTATGTCTGCATGAAATGTAGGGATTAAATATATTTTAATAAACTCTGCCACTAATCCACAAATGTAAAAAAGAAAATGGAAATATATATGTCAATACACAAGAGAGACGCAAGAGGGTGTTAATTATAGAGCAACAAGTGGATTTACTGGAGTTTTTCATGTATACATGTAGTAAAATTGTTTTCTAGAAGTCAAGCAAAATCACGTTTTGTATAGTATCTTATATCATAACCATAGAGATCATAACACACATTTACACTCAAAATTAAACTTCAGTATGCCAGGAAAAATAGAAAGAAATATAATATAGTCTACTAAATCCAGCATTATATTACAATCTTATATCTCTTGGCATAGTAGGAGAAGAGTAGAGAAGGGCTGATTTAATAAATGTGCATTTTTTCTCGCAAAGAAATTGATTTCATGCCAAGTTTTTATTCCCTTACTCCACCACTGGTGACATCTATATTTTATATGTGTTATATTAAACTTAATATGATGTAAACCAAGGCAAATTCCTCGTATGTGATAACCTACTTGGCAATCAACCTAATTCTGATATTTGTTATAATAAACGTATTATGAGGCAGCTGGAAATGATAAGAACAACTACAGTTAGTTTAGAAAACTAATAAAATTGGCGTTATTTCTTGCCCAAAAAGTCACGTTTCCCTACGTTTTTATTCCCCTACTCCCCCACTAGACCAAAAATATTTTATATTTGTGATTATAAACTTGTTATGAGGCAGCTAAAGGTAATAAAACACTACATTAAGTACATAAAACTAAGAAAAGTGCATTATTTATTGCAAAAATAAAACATGTTCTTCCCAGTTTTCATTCCCCTACTCCACCACTAGTGACAACCATATCTTATATGTGTTCAAATAAACTTATATCACACCTATTATTGTTTGAATATAACATATTCTGTATACTGAATCCAGCATTATATTAGAAGTCCATCCAGGGAGTAGCATAGTACAAGAAGTGTATGATACATTTTAGGGCTGATTTAACTTAAAGGGTTACTTCTTGCAAAAAAAGACACGTTGTATTCCCCTACTCCACCAAAAGTGACAACCTTGAGACTTTATTTTATATTTGTTATATTAAACGTATTGGTTATGCAACAAGTCATGTTATACCCCAATCCGCCACTAGTGACAACCATATTTTGTATTTGCTGGAGGTCTCACCTGGACGATGTGCCGGGGCTGCACGGACAGAGTGGGGAAGTTCCCGCGGCCGTGGATCGGGATGCTCTCCCCCAGGATGGAATCCAACCGCCGCACCTGATCCCAGGACAGCACGCTGACCCTCGGATTCAGCTCCGGGGCATCACCGGAGGAATCACCGGAGGACATGGTACAGGAATAACGGGAGCTCCACAGAGTGTATAAACGAGAATAAAAGACAATCCCCCCTACTGATGATCCGGTGATGTGAGGATAAACTGCGCGTAAAGCTGGGAAATAAAAACTCCTCTTGTGTTTTCAAAGATCTCCAAAAGTGATGTGAGAGTTTTGTGGATTCTCGGACATCTCCAAACTTCCAGTGAGTTCCGTTGAGTTTGCAAGTGTGTGTCTGTGTGTGTGTGTCTGCACCAACTGCACTGACTCTCTCTGTGAACACACACCGGCTTTTTACCCAGATCCGGATCCAGAGGAGCCTTCCTATTGGCTGCTCATAGATTTATTGAAGGCTTCTAGAAGACTACAGTCAGCCTACACACACACATTCGAGCACACACACATTCTTCCCATGCGTCAGATGATAGGTTCAAGGAGTTTAGGAAATATGGTAATTACTAGTTAAGGGGTGCAGTTCTCTTTAACTATGTACTGAGGATGGTTGCATAGTCTAGTAGAGCTATTTAAAGTGTGTTTGTGTAAACACAGCAGGAAAGTTAAGTCTGCTTTAAAATACTTGTATGTAGGCTACACACAGCCTACTGTATAACAAACAAATGTGACTTTTTTTTAACAAATTATAAATTAATTTCAGTTTTTTTATGTAAAATATATATGTGTTATATTATTTATTCAACACATTTAATAAACAAACAAAGGAGAGAAAAAAATAGCGACTAAAGTGAAATAAAATCCATTAAATATGGCATAAATTCAATTATTATATTAATTGCAGTAGCAACTTAAGTAAAGGTTAATTTACAAATAAGAAGTCATAGCGACTAAATACATTATATGAATACATTTTAATAGAGACTAAAGAGAAATAAAATCCAATAAATATGGCATAAATAAAATTAATAAATTAATCGGTATAGCGTCTTAAGTGAAATAACAATTTTTTTATATATTCCTATCACGCAGTAGCAGAATTTACGTAATTTTTGACATATTCTGCTCAAAACTACTTGTTTGATGTCTGTTTGTTGTGTCTGGGCCTTAAGGGATGGTACAATGTACACTAGGCTAAAGGAGATAAGGGAGGAAGGCTGCATGGAAGCTCATCTCCTAATTTGGTTCTAACTGCTTCCTGAACAAAAACAAGTTTGGTTTGAGCTGTTGTTTGGATAAAAGTACATGAACTGTTCCCACGCATTTTAGCAAAAGGCCTTGGAGTTGCAAAAGGACTTTTGACTCCTGGATGAAGGATTGATTACAAAACGCTACAGAATAGTTCTTAGGTCTTAAAAATGCCACCTAGAAGTCGTTTTAATTTTAGAAAGACCGTTCTTTTAGGTTTTTGCAACTTAGCTTATCATTAAGAGAACTCAAACCAACTCTTATCATGGATTAGCTCCTTCCAGGTCTTTTCAATCAGTCAGTTAATTCCTGCAGTGCAAAAAAGACGAATAAACGGCATATCTGTACGAAATGTCATGGCAGACTCATTCAACCAAACAAAGGACCAACATTGGTCAATAAATAACACGATTTCTTCTGTCAGCAGGTCAAATATGTCCCCAAAAAATGACCCTGACATCTGTTTCTACAATATGTCAAACCTCACTGATTTGGAAAGTCTTTTTTGGCTTGTGATTGATTTTTTGAGGGACTGTATTTTTCCGTCCAACCATCCAGGAAATCATAAGAAGTTTTTCATAGCATTTCAAAAACAGGTGTTTTTCCACAAGGGGTTAAATCGCTTTCATCTACTAAAGCTTTGAATCAGAACAGAAAATCAGAGGAGTAATGGAAGGAGCTTTCGAAGGCCTGATTAGTGTTTTTTAAAGAGAAAAATAATGTAATGATAACTTAAAACAAAAGGTCCAAATGGAGCGACATTTTTCCCTGGATGTCGTGTTTTACAGAGATATACCCGTTTTAAAGATATCCGGGATTATCTTCTGACCGCCTCATATGTCAGGCTGATCATATTATACTGCACCGTGCGTCATTGTTCAATTTAGAAAATAACAGTGTGTTTCTTTTGTAAAGGTCATTGAGAGAAGCCTATATAGGAAAGGAGTGCAGAATAACAACCTGCAAAACAACAAAAATATGGTCATCATTTGCATTTTAATTCGTGTGACGGTGACTTACCTGTCGCTCCTGGCGTACGGTGCGCAAAAAACAAATCAAAATGTTCCCTACTGTGTCACAATATAAGTCCATACAATATCAGGGTCTCAATCTAAATATAGCTGTGTTTAACCCAGGTTGTTCTTTTATAAAATGATTACAGTAATTAAAAAGGCTTCACTGCGTCTGAGGGCAAAACCATTTCATTATGTGGACTGTTCATTAATATGAGAAGGAAGGGAACTTTGAAATAACTTTATTTATGATTATGGTGTGTTGCAGACTGTGTGAAAGCAAAATATTGACCTAAACTGTATCCTTACTTTTACTGATGAAGCAACAAGTGAAACCAGACCCTCTTGAGATTCAAAAATAACACAGGAATTTAGCAATAATGCAAATTACACAAATTACAGCCGGAAATAATAACATAATGTCATGTAGTTCACATGTGTCTTGTTTATTTTATATGAATTTAAAGGCCTTTCACACCATTTCCCACAAGCCTCAGACCTTCACTTGCTAAATGTCACAACATAAGGCCATGACATATTCCTAATGTGTGTAGATTTCAGATTTTAGACTAGTGTTTGTGTAACCAGAACATAACTCCTTGAACAATTAATTAGATTACTTTAAAAGGGTGCAATTATGCATGTATGGCAGGACCATTTTTTATTTAATAACACCTGAGAGGGGCATTTTTACTAGCAAGCTCATTTATTTCACACTGTATATCAGTGTTTCCCTCAGGAATTTATGAGGGTTTTATGGGGGGGGACCTCAGACCCTCTTGGGGGGTCCAGGGCCACGCTCCACCGGAAGAAAGTGTAAAGGTAAATGCATCAAGCTGGTGCACCTTGAGAGCAAAATTAAGAAGCTACCTTTATGAAAAATGGTGCGCCCTTGTTAAAATGTGTAATTGTCAACACATTCGTTTTATAGAATAATGAAGCAAGCACCAAGGGAAGCAACGAGGGGTTTCCGGAGCTCATATAATATAGGATTTTGTAACTCATTAAGCGTATTAATTATGAAACAACAAGCCGTTTTTGTTCCAAACTAGCTCAAATTAAACTATCAAAAGTTTGGGGGGTGCAACAGCTCACGCCAGCTTGCTTTAAAGGGGACATATCATGCACAGGTTCTGTTTCATACTCATATTATATGATAATATACAATCATTTTCCTCAATATTTGAATCCTCAGGCATTAAACAATTTCTCGTGACGTTTAAAACGAGAAGTTGTTGGGAGCTAAAGGGAGCTAACGTAAGTTAATAGAACAGCGGGTAGCAAGAGTGTCAGGTCGACAGCTCTCTTTACAAGCTCTGCAGAGTGAGGAGACGAGCTTTAACATGATTGGATGCCTTGTCATTAAACAAATATATGTGATTGTACTTTGCCTTATCTCATTGGTATTTCTCCTGCAAAGCGACATGTTAATGACTCATATATCAGACAGCCTTTTTTATTTAAACAACCAGTACGAGAACCATGTGTTTTCAGGCGGTAATGTTTCCCATCATGCTCGTAGCACGACTCGTAATCACCTCCTTCAGTGTTATGACATGAGGCTGATTTAGAGCCGTGGGGTAGGGAGGGAACGGGTCACAAATCCAACGCAAATACGGTGCAATTTCCAGGAAACAGCAGCGAGAGTTAATGTAATATTTACAATGTGATCATATCAGTGAGGCTGCCCTATAGTTTCTATGCTGACATGCACACAGACTGTAACGTAAGAGGGGTTGTAAATGTAAATAACAGAGGGTCAGTTACAGATAAGTGAGGAAAAGTCTACGCTTTCAACTCTTATACGATTAAGACCAGTTATGTTGGTGTGTGTGACGAGAAGAGATGGAGCTGTTAAATTCTTCTGAGTTATTCTGGTAATGGACTCCTTATGATGGTAATTTTCTCAATAGTGCTGAAATCCTGTTTGGCAGGGCAGTGGAAATGGACTCGCTAATATAAATGTTACGTGGCAAATCAGACTGAATGTCAACGTCCTAATAGTTGGAATCAGCCTGACAAGATAAGTAGATCTGATGCATCACATTTAACAAAAGGCGGGTTTGAAATGTCACAGTTTAACCTGTCAACAGTGTGTGTGTGTGTTTTCTCGAGACATTAACACCTTCTTTCTTTGCAAGGGAGACATCCAGTGTAAGTGATAAAAGAAAAGGCCCTACAGTATATGCAGTTACATAAGAGTGACGCTCTAACTTCCTTTGTTGCCATTGTTAAAATGCTACAAAGAGATCTCTAAGCATGCACCTGTCATTGTGTCACAGGTTGTTTTAACAGCTGTGACCTGTGAAGTTTTTTTTTAATCATAATGGCACATTCACTGCACCCAGATTGCATATTTGTGGTATTGTTTTGGCGGTCACAGTGACTGCTGTGTACGAGTTGTGTTAACAACAAGTTAAAACAGGAACAAAATGTGCCCTTCAAGTTATATCCAACATTTATTGCTCTGTGTTGATTTGGTTTCGTTGGTTTATCTGATGGGATCAGATCAGTTTAAAATGTCAACATGTCAACATGCCAACGTTTACGCATATGCACGTAACAGTAAACAGAGATATTACAAAAATACAGTATACTTGTAGAAACGACAAAATGCATTAATAATAATAATAAGCATACATTACAGAAAGCAAACCTTCAACAATGATGTCTTAAATAAATGTGTTCCAACATGGAAATTAATACCAGAAAACATTGTCTGTTTCTAAATGTGGCCTTTGCAGCGTCAATGCAAACTAGATGTCTAATTATTTTCTAAATAGTATTTGTAAAGTCCGTTGATACGTTTCCATTCAGTTGTTCCTTACATCAAGTTTTAAACCAACAAAAATGTCCTACTCCATCACGGCCCGTCCACACAGCAGCGTGCGTTGACGCTTGGAGGTGGGCGTATCTGAAGCTTGGGGATTTTTTGCGAGCAACGCGACCAACAACCAATCACATGAATCTCCCGCCCCCGACGTACAAAGCAATAGCAATGTTAAAACGAAGTAAACTGGATATAAACTCCCCAAACAGGCGAAAACCTACCAGTTTCACCCACTGTCTCTGCCACCTCCCTCCATGCCTCGCTCCTCCGGTTTGTATCCCGGTAGATGAACAGAGACTGATCATACAGCACCGGGTG